TTGATGTGTCGTGTTTGATGACTCGTGTCGTGTTTGATGACTCGTGTTGTTTGATGACTTGTGTCGTGTTTGATGACTTGTGTCGTGTTTGATGACTCGTGTTGTGTTTGATGACTTGTGTCTCGTGTCGTGTTTGATGACTCGTATAGTGTTTGATGACTCCTGTTGTTTGATGACTCGTGTTGTTTGATGACTTGTGGTGTTTGATGACTCGTGTCGTGTTTGATGTCTCGTGTCGTGTTTGATGACTCGTGTCGTGTTCGATGTGTCGCGTTCGATGTGTCGCGTTTGATGTGTCGCGTTCGATGTCTCGTGTCGCGTTCGATGACTCGTGTCGCGTTTGATGACTCGTGTCGCATTCGATGTGTCGTGTCACATTCGATGACTCGTGTCGCGTTTGATGTCTTGTGTCGTGTTTGATGACTTGTCGTGTTTGATGACTCGTGTCGTGTTTGATGATGTGATGTGTTTGATGACTCGTGATGTGTTTGATGTCTCGTGTTGTGTTTGATGACTCGTGACATGTTTGATGTTTTGTGTTGTGTTTGATGACTCGTTTGACCACAGCTAATCAATCCTGCTGCTCCTTCAAAATAAAAGCCCTCTGGCATTGTGTCTCTGTCACCTTGAGGACTCATCATCACCGTCTGTCTCTTTCTCTCTCTGTTTGTCTCTCTCTCTGTCTCTGTCTCTCTCTCAGGTGACGGAGACAGCAGGTGGTCCGTTCACTACACTACCCAGAAGCCCCAGCAGGGTCTGCTCTTCATCCCTGCTAATGACCTGCGAGGTCAGAGGTCAGCAGAGAGCAGCATCTCAGGTGATCACACACACACACACAGACACAGACACACACACACACACACTGTAGTTTATTATATGTATTTATTATCGTAGAAATACTGATCAAAGCGTGGGGATTCATCCGCCGCTGAAAGTAGTCCCCAACAAAAGCACTAAACTGAGTTATCAGATTGAATCTGAAAGTTTTTAAACCTTTTTATCACATCAGTTATTTTAATCACATTCGACACATTAAATAATGAAGAAACAGACATTTAAAGGCTCTTATTTTGTTAACTCTTGTCTAATTGATTAATTCTACTACTGAACACTGAGAGCAGAGAGCTGCAGCGTGCACACACTCACACACACTCTGCAGTGCTCCAGACAAAGGATCTCGTCCAGAGATTATTGCTGAATTTAAACTTAATTGATTGATTGATTTAAGATCAATCAGCATCATGAGCTCACAGCTTGTCTGCTGATCTATTGATTTACTGCAGATTAACTAAGAAAAAACATATTAATTATATATATATATATATATATATAAACAAACGACTGGATCATTGATTGATTTATAACCTCTTGTTTTCTGATTGAATATAAACTGTATGAACATCTTTAACGTCTTCTGTACGTGTGTGTGTGTGTGTGTGTGTGAGTGTAGCGTGTAATGGGCTGACTCAGCATGGCTACAGCCCTCAGAGCCCCGCCCCTTACCCGTCCTCCTCTGGCCTCGGCCAATCAGAGGGCAGCACGGCCCGCAGAGGGTGGAAGGACAAAAGCAGGAGGATGGTGAGAGACACACCCACACACTCTCACACACACCCTCACACACACTCTCAAACACACAGACACACACACACACTCTCAACCACACCCTCACACACTCACACACACTCTCACACACACACAGACACACACAGACACTCACACACTCACTCACGCACACACACACACACACACACACACACAGAATCATGAATATTAATGAGGCTGAACAGACGAATACATCTGACATAAAGTACTTCATCATTGTAGTAGTAGAGAGAGAGTATTCAGATCCTTTACTTTACCACAATACTGCTATTATATAAAGTATTATCATTTATTAAAAGCACTCAAAGCAGAATAATGTTTAGAATAATTCCTGTTTTATTCTCCTTCTGGTTTCGTCCTCTCAGAGGTTCAGAATTCTGAACTTTCTCTCTCAGTCCTGCTTCTCAGTTTGTTTCAGGTTTTCAGTTTGGAGGAGAAAGGTAATCATGGATAGAACTAGACTAAAGTAGACTAGACTAAAGTAGACTGGACTAGAATGGACTAGACTACACTACAGTAGACTAAACTAGACTAAAGTAGACTGGACTAGACTAAAGTAGACTGGACTAGAATGGACTAGACTAAAGTAGACTAGACTAAAGTAGACAAGACTAGAATGGAATAGGGTAGACTAGATTAGAATGGACTAGAGTTCAGGTAGACATGGATAGAACTAGACTGAAGTAGACTAAGCTAAACTAGGGTTTACGTAGACATGGATAGAACTAAAGTAGACTAGACTGAACTAGAGTTAAACTCGTACCAGATTTAGACTTGAGTTGAACTCTTACTTAACAAACGTGTTTTGTGTACTCAGTCCTCAGCTTTCTCAGACGAAGACGAGCAGTTCATCTTGCACAACACGCGACCTCTGACCCCACTGGTCCTCAACCCTGTCCCCCGCACCTCCTGTTGGGATGTCTTTGGCTCCGCCCACGAGCCAACATTCAACCTGGAGGTGGAGCCGCTCCCCCGGCTTCCAACACCAGAGGAGAGGATGAGGCAGCAGGCCGAGACGGTCGCCGCTCATGTAGTCCCGATCAATATAACAGGTGGGGGACTGGACTGAGATCTAGATTTCACTCTTGACTCAGAACTCTGCACCTGAATCTGGACCCTTAACTCGACTGAGACTTGGGACTTGACTTGGATTTAAGACTCGACTCAAGACTTGTCTTGGATCTGGTCTTTGACTTGGGATTTAACTACGTCTCAACTTGGAGTAGAGCTTCAACTCAGACTTTGACTCAACTGGACTCAGACTTGGTACTTGACCCAGAAACTAGACCCAGAACACAGATTCAACTCTTGTTCCGTTCTTGAGCTTAGACTCTAAACTCGACTCAGACTTGGACTTGATATTCATCTTCTTCTTGAAATTTGTTTGGGGACTGAAACTCCACTTGATACTTGACCCGTCCAAGTCAAGTATCAAGAGGGAGTTGAAGCCCAAATGACTTGGACTCTACTTGGACCTTGACTCAGACTAAAGTCAGACTTGGAACCAATTAAACTGATAACGACAAATTCTTGAACCGTATCTTCATTGTTGTTTTCGTTCTTAAGGCGAGAGTTTTGATCGTCAAGCCAGTTTTCGAAAAGAGGGTTCTAACAACGACTCGATGTCTCTGCGACCCCGAAACCTGAGCCGCCGCCAGACGGTTACTGGGATACCTGATGATGTCAGCCGGACTCTGGGTATGAGCTCCACTTAATCATCCACCCATCACCTCTTTTATAAGATAAGATAAGATAATCCTTTATTAGTCCTGCAGTGGGGACATTTACAGGATCACAGCAGCAAAGTGGACACAAGATACATGGTAAAAAAGAAACAAATGCAGCAAGTATTATAAATAAGTAATAAACAGTAAAGAATATTAACTAGTAAAAAAAGTACGAAAATCCACAATAACTAAATATAACTAAAAATAAAATATATATACAGATTGAGTATTGTTTATTGCAGAGTGTAATTATTGCACTGATTTTTTATAGTGTTGTTAGTGTTGTGTGGTCTACTGGGAGCACAGCTGGTTGTGCAGCCTGACAGCAGCACAAACATTTCCTACCTTTATCTCCTCTGTTCTGAACTTGTGTCTCTCCAGACTTGCCTTTGGTCTCTCTGGATCTTCCCGGTCACTTCTCCACTGTGGGTCGATCTGTGTCCTCCTGCTCCTCTGCCCACCAACAGAAGGGAGGAACGGAGGAGGAGGAGATGGGAGAGCTTAGAGTGGAGGAAGTGCATTCATCAGCAAGGAGGATCCGAGCTCCTAGAGGTCGAGGGCTGTCCAGCCTCATGGCCTCCCTCACATCCGCCCTACCTGTTGACTCCTGTCACGACCTTGAGTCCTCCTCTTCCTCCTCGGAGGTCCATAGCCTCCCCAGTCTGGTGACCAACTCCTCTCTGAACTCTGAGGCCTCCTACAGGACACTCAGTGCCTCCTCTTCTTGTTGTCAGGTCAGTGAAGGAGAACTCATGGTCACAAGTATCTCTGTAATTAAAACAAAGGATTCTTAAGATTTCTTTTATTTTCAGGATCTTCAGGGTTTCCCCAGCGACCTCCAGCCCATGCTGCCCTTTGACCCCACTGCCAGAGTCATCCCCCAGTCACCTTCCTCCTCCTCTTCTTCCTTCCCTTCCTCCCTCGTCAACTCCTGCCTCGCCAGCACCCCTAGCCGTGCCCTGCAGTCGGAGTGGTCTTACTCCAGCGATAAGCCCCTTAATGAGGCTGCCCAACATCGCAGTTCTCCTTCCTCCTCCCACTACCTCTCCTCTTCCTCCATCGCAGACTCGGCGTCTCGGTTTAGCTACCAGGCTCTGGATGACCGGACCCTGACCCAGCAGGACTCCCAAAGCTCCTACGATGAGGAGACCTGGAGCTACCAGCCCCTCTCGCCCAGCTCAAGTGTCCACAGCGGCCGGACCAGGGGCAACTGGAATGCCATCGCCCATGAGATGAGATGTGTTTCTGGGGAAGCTTGGAACTGTGACCCCCTGCTCTCCTCCGGTCGCTCCACCCCAGAGAAGATCACCTCCTCTCCTTTGCTAAACCAGGAGAAAAGGAGGTTCAGCACTTCCTCCTCCTACTCTCGCTCAAACATCCGCAGCATCTCCCTCTGCAAGTCCAAGCGCCCGCCTCTTCCACCGTTGCGCTCTGACTCTTTGAGGCGCCGGCCGGGTTGTACTAAACCCCCCCGCTCCTCCTCCTCCGATTCCCGGCCAGAACCGAACTCCCGCCTCGAACCCACAACCCACCAGATCTTCCATGACCCCTGGGTGCCCCGGAGTAACACCAAACGGCACCAAAGTGGCTTCAACTGCGGAACAGTGACGACCTTTGAACCTTTGAACCAGGAGGACACCGCTGAATATCCTCCTTCTGAGCAGCTACCGCCAAGCCCCGCCCACTCACATGGCCACGCCCCCACTCCTGCGTCACCAGGCTCACATGAGGAGGGGCTGAGGTTTACTCCCAACCCTCAACCAGCCTCCTCCTCGGTGGCTGAGCTTCAGCGCCTCGCCTCGCCCTCCAGTGGCTACTCCAGCCAGTCCAACACTCCCACTCCTGGCACTCCTGTGTCCTCCCCTCTCTCCCCCTCTTCTCCTGGAACCTTCTCCCTCCCCCCGACCTCCCCCTTCTCCTCTTTACACTCGTCCTCCTTTCCCCTGTCCACCGCCGTCTGCTCCATGTCCAGGACAACTTCTCAGGGCGAAGGGAGGCCAAAGCCTCCGGTACCAGAGAGGAAGTCCTCACTCTTCTCCTCCCATTCCTCCTCATTTTGCTCCACCTCCTTCCTCTCCTCTTGCACCTCCTTAGACTCTTCTGCCAAGCATCCTCCTCCTCCTCCTCTACCAGAGTGTTCCTCTCCTTTGCCTCCTGTCTTCTACTCCCCCATTCACAAGTGTCCTCCCCCAGCTCCTCCTCTTCCTCAGTGCTGCCTGCCTGCTTCCTCCGTCAACAAACTCTCTGCTGCTCCTCCTCCTTCATCTTCATCTCTTCCTCCTCCTCTTCTCCCACCCTCATCCCTCCCTCTACCCCCTCCCCTGCCTCCTCCACCTCCTCCTCCTCTCCCACCCTCATCCCTCCCTCTACCTCCTCCACCTCCTCCTCCTCTCCCACCCTCATCCCTCCCTCTACCTCCTCCTCCTCCTCCTCTCCCACCCTCATCCTTCCCTCCACCTCCTCTTCTTCTCCCACCCTCATTCCTCCCTCTACCTCCTCCACCTCCTCCTCCTCTCCCACCCTCATCCTTCCCTCTACCTCCTCGACCTCCTCTTCTTCTCCCACCCTCATCCCTACCACTACCTCCTCCACCTCCTTTTCTTCTCCCACCCTCATCCCTACCTCTACCTCCTCCGCCTCCTCCTCCTCTCCCACCTTCATCCCTCCTAACTCCTCCTCTTCCACCTCCCACTCGGCCTCCTCCTCCCCCTTACTCCTACGCCATCAGGCAGACCTCTCATCATTCTTTGGTGTCATCATCAAACGACTTCCCTCCACCTGCATCTTCTCCTCTTCCTCCCTCTTCCGAATTGCCAATTGCTGACCTTTTACCTCCACCAGCACCTCCTCCCTTCCTTCTTCTACCTGCTCCCCCCTCATTCCCTGCCTCCTCCCTCACCCCCCTAGGCCGCTGTGTTAAGGTGCCCACGACGTTCCGCCCCCTGGTCACCACCCAAGCTTTGCAGGGTGTCAAGCTTCGCTCCGTCAAGAACCAGGAAGGCCTGCTCACTAGCACCATGCTAACTGATGCTAACCATGCTAATACCGTCCATGACCTACCAAGCAAAGAAGCTCATCCAGATGGTGCTGTGTTGGCTAACGCTGATGTTAAGCTACCTGGAACTGGATCACAAAATGCTGCATGTGGTCTAGGTAGCAATGAAGCTAACAAAACTATTTCTTTAAAAAGTAATGCTATCGCTGAGGAAGAGCAACCTGCACGCAGATCAGATCATGATTACCACAGCCTAACACAACATGACGTCAGGACACCCTACAATGATCCACAGGGCATTGTAGCTAGCACAGCTAGCCAGAGAAGCTCTGTGCCTCAGCTGACCAATAGCGAAACTCCTCATGACATCCGGTACAACGAACCACAGAAGAAAGGGTCAGACATTTATGCTACACTAGCAAGTCCTGACAGTCCCTGGGTAAAAATATCTTACGATAACGACAACAACACAATCATCCAACATCGTTCTTTGCAACAACAACAGGCCACAGCTCCAGTGTTGGCAGATGCAAAGCTAACTGAGGCTGCAAGGAAACAGGGAAACACAGACGCTTCATATTGGACACTCTCTGGAACGAGACAAGAGTCTCGCACAGAAAATAGGAGGATACTTTTGGACAGCAAAGAGGAAGTGGAGACAAACGAAAAGAAGAATTTTGAAATGTGGAACGATGCAGCTGATGAATCAACAGTATTTAGTGGAATAAAACTGAATAATGGGGTCTGTAGGACCGCTAGCCCGAGGAAACTCCACTCCCCAGAGAAGCCCACCCTGCCAAAGAAGCCCGATCTTTGCATTCTGGGTCTCACGGCATACCCTGAGGACAGACGAGGACAGAAGAGCAGTGGACAAATCACGGCGTCTTCTTCTGGACTCAACAGCCAATCACAGCATCCCGCTGATTCCTTCTGCACACCCTCACCAAATCACCTGACTCGCACGACTTTGCCTGTAGAAAAGACACATGATTACATCACCACACACTCACCTGTTGGCTTTCCTCACAGACAGAAGCCACCGGTTTTGCACAAGAAGCCAGATCGCTCAACCGAAACCCCCAAACCTCTCTCTGGGACCGCTGGGATCACTTTAAATGGCACCATGGGTACCTTGGAGAACTGGGGTACCTCAGGAACTCGGGATACCATGGAGACCAGTAGCACCCAAGGGATCATGGGCATGCATGGGAACTGTGAACCCTCAGGGAACATGGGTATCACAGAGACCCAGAGTATCAAAGGGGCTCCACACTCTATGGATGACACCCCGAGTACTGAGAACCGGGACACCATGGAGACCACTGGCACCCTAGGGACCATGGGCATGCATGGGAACTGTGGACCCTCGAGGATCGTGGGTATCGCAGAGACCCGGAGTATAAAAGGGGCACCACACTCTATGGATGAGACCATGAGTACCAAGAACCGTGGAACCTCAGGAACTCGGGGCACCATGGAGACCAGTAGCACCCTGGGGACCATGGGTATGTATGGGAACTGTGGTCCCTCGGAGACCTGTAGCACCTTCGGGACCACAGACCCCTGGATCATCAAGACTAGAACTTATCAGGACACTGAGAATATGTTTCACACGAACATGATGAGGTCGTCGCTGGCTGAAGATAAAGAGGAAAACGAGAAGGAGATGGTGGAGGAGACGGGGATGAAGGCACCAATTATGATGACGCCATCAACCACCAGGAAAAAAGACAAAGCAAGGAAGAGGAGGAAGAGGAGGGCAGGCAGGCAACTGCTGATGATGTCGACAATGAGGCCCTCCCCCTCCTCCTTCTCATCATCCTCATCGTCTTCATCCTCATCCGGAGATGAACGAGACGTAAAAGAGAGAACGCGTCAGAGAGCAAGGATGACGACGGTACGCCAACAAGACGCCAGTGACTCTGAGAGCTCCTGCGCTCCGATTGGTCGGAGCAGGTGCTCCCTCAGCAGCGCGTTGTCCACCGACAGCATGCAGGGGGAGAAGTCGCTTCTAGACCTGCTGATCCACGAGGAAGAGGAGGAAGATGAGGACGAGCGTGGGAAGAAGGGAGCAGACAGGAGGAAGACGGCCGGAGGACCTCCCAATGGTAAGTTGGGTTTACTGGAGTTTTCTGAGTTAGCCAGTCCTGGCAACATATTTACAGTATGTAATATGTATTATATGAAGTAGTATGTATGCTACAGTATGTAGTCAAGAACACAGGGAATCTTTAATTCTAATCTCTGACTTTGTGTCTTTGTTTCTCTGAAGATATGTTGGTCAGCATTGCAGCAGATCACATGTTCGAGTCCGGTCGACCACGAACCACAGAGGATCTGTTCGCCGTCATCCACAGGTAGGTCACACAAACACATCGTCACTGTACCGACCAATCGGCCTCCTCTCACATGTCTGCTTGACTCCTCCCTCTGCCTCTGTGGAGCAGTGCATTATGGGAAGGCACAGCATGAATGTCCAGGTAACAAAGGTAAAGACCCGTCCTGAATGTGTCGTAGAAGGAGTCTAGTTTAACTAGATCTATATCCTTAAGTCATTCCTTTGTCCCCCAAGTAGGAAGCGTGTTGTACCCTAAATGGAAGCTTCCTGTCTCCTTGTTCCTAACTTTCTTCCCCAAATAAAAAGTGTCCTTGTTCCCAAAATGGAAGCTTCCTGTCTCCTTGTTCACTGACTTTCTTGCCCAAATAGAAAGCATCCTTGTCATGTAGCTGAGTCTTGTTCCCTGACTCTGGTGCTTCTAGTTTTTTCCAGCTTCCTTAAGCTTTAAACTGGAAGCTTCGTAACAAATCCGTCCTTCATCCTTAGATCTTGTTATTTTGAACGCGGTAGATTTTGTCTCATGTTCTTGACCCAGAACAGGAATGTGACTCGTCTCTTTGTGTTTGTCTCAGGTCTAAAAGGAAGATGCTCAGAAGACGGGATTCAGAAGACGATAGTCATCATATTTCCTCTTCTTCTGTCTCCCGTCCGATCACCCTCACTGCCCCCCTGCCTCGCCCGAGGCCTCGAACTGCAGCTCCTAGAAGTCAAAGCTCAGTGAGGAGTGAGAGCTTTAAGGCCCTGCTGCTGAGGAAGGGTAGTCGGTGGGATTCGTCTTCTCGAATCTCGGCCGTTGAGCAACTTTGCAAACTTGCTTCTTCGGCAACTACTGCCAAACTCCACAGTGTTCTACCGCCACCGCCGCCAGTCCAACGTCCAGTTCAACCTCCAGTCCAACCCTCCAGCTTGTCCCGTCCCTCAGAACTACCCCAGAACTTCTCCATGATCGGATTCGGATGGGGGCAGAGGGATCTGACACCGAATCACGTCCTCCTCACCTCCTCCTCTTCCTCTTCCTCCTCCCACTTCTTTTTCCTCTCCTCCTCTTCCTTCATGCGGCATCGTTCCCTCACTCCCCCCTGCTCCTCTAGCCGCCGTTTTGCCTCTCGCTGCTGCCGCTACGCCGCCCCCATGACCGCCATCTTTGAAGGAGAATGCGAGGAGGAAGACGAGGAAGAACAGGAGGACGACGAGGGACCGAAGGATAACAGATTTCTTGGAAAAATCTTCGTTGAATGTGGCGATGTCGGGGTCTTCTACTGATCCGGATCTGGTTCACGAACATGTTGCACTGCCCCAGAAAACCAGCCTGGACTGAACCGGAATGGACTAAACCGGTCTGGAGTACACCGGCCTGGACTACACCAGCTGGACTACACCGGCCTGTACTACACCAGCTGGACTACACTGGCCTGGACTGAACCGTCCTGGACCAAACCGGACTAGACTGAACCGGACAAGACTGAACCGGACTGGACTAAACCGGACTAGAATAAACCGGACCGGACTCAATCCGGACCGGACTGAAGCATTTGATTGAATTCACTCAAGCACAGTTGTGTCAGAACGAGTGTACTTATACTTCATGGCACCAGTTAATGTACTTAAACTACAGTTATGAACTTGTATTTTTTTCTTCTGTTTTCCTTCTTTCACGGACACTGAACGTTCATATTTAGTTTCTAAGTAGTCTCGTCTTTGTCCTCTCTGGTTGAAGACGACGCAACGTTATTTGATGTCCTGACATGAAAACATAGTTTTTCTTTAGATCACAGAGTAAATGTTAATAATTAGAATATAGTTCGTAATAATAATGTTAAAGTAGTTATGTTTTAAAGGTTTCTGGGACTTAATGCAAACAAACTGGATGTATATTTTTTATTTCAGACATTTTTGAATGATTTTACATGTTAACACCAGATTTGAGCTGAAACTAGAACCAACAAGGAACGTAGTCTGTAAATAATCACGCTTCATCTTCATCGTTTATGTTTCATTGAGCTTCACGTCTCCATGATATACTGTACATATAAAGACTTAGAATAATTAAAGAGGTTCAGATGTGATCAGAAGAGATGAAGAGAGAATGAAAACTAAGCAACAAACAAATGTCAATACAGAAAAAGTGTCCAGATGAGCAGAAATAAAAGGCAAACTAAATTTATTCTTTTGACTCTTTTGTCTTTTTTATTTTAATACAAGAGCAACAACCAGAGAAGAATTAAGTACTTTGGTTATTTACTAAAGTAAAAGTACTCCGACACTGTGAAAATACTCTGTTACTCCTACAAGTCCTTCTTTAATGATAATAAGATTTTTTTTACAGTGTATGTTTCTGTGGTTTACTACCTGTGTATTGATCAGTGCTGTCTGGTTTACTGAGTATTGATCCAGGCTGTAGTTCCTGACGTGGCCTCTGGGGGGCAGCACCCCCACTGAGCTGAATGGACTCTGTTGTCCTGGTCTGAGACTCTGAGGCAGTCATGAGACCCTGTTTGCTTGTCCTGAACCATGTGAGTCTGAAGAGACGGAGAGAGAGGAGGAGGAAGAAGAGAAGATGGAGGACTGGTGTCGGTGGGTGAGGGAGGAAGGGTGGTGGGTGAGGAGGTGCTGCTGTGGCGAGGAAGAGGACGACGATGAGGAGGAGGAGGAAGGAAGGAGGGAGGAAGAAGAAGAGGAGAAGGTGAAGATGGAGGAGCTCAGCTTGAGAAAGAGCAGGAGTTCAACCTGCCTCCCTCCTGCTGAGGTATTTATAGAACTTTACTAATGTTTGAGTAACTGTACTCCAGTTTAAGTAACTGTACTCTAGTTTAAGTAACTGTACACCAGTATGAGTAACTGTACACCAGTATGAGTAACTGTACTCCAGTATGAGTAACTGTACTCTAGTTTAAGTAACTGTACTCCAGTTTAAGTAACTATACTCCAGTATAAGTAACTGTACTCCAGTTTAAGTAACTACTCCAGTATAAGTAACTGTACTCCAGTATAAGTAACTGTACTCTAG